TTATACGATTTGACACGTTAATTTTCTTAATTTAAGAAAACTGTCGATAATTTTTTATGTATCTATAGTTCATTAGTTCTGCTTCTTTCTATATTGAGAACAGCAATATTACAAAGTATCTTTTTTGAGACGTGGAGTTTCTTTAGTAATTTTTAATGTATTTCAGCCATGACCTCTCAGTTGAGGCTGCAGTTATTGGAAATGTAAGAAATATTATTCAACAAGCAGTTAAAATGCCAGGAAAACTACAAACCTAGTCATTTTGAATAATGAAATTTATTTGTTCTCTTACATCAGATAGATAGTACCAATGAATGTAGTAGTTGATAAAACTTTCATTTAAATTAAATTAATACATATTGATAGAATTCAAATTGAGTTAAATAAACGTGGCATATTGCATTTTTTTTTTAAAATTAAAATTTAATATTATAATAGGTTCCCAGTGGTGTGTTATACTTTGAATCAGGGACATGGCCTTATTGGTCTTCATTTATACGTACCTTTAAAAATTTCAATCAAATTATCATTACTGATAAATTTAAACCGTGTTCAATAAACCATAGCCAGTATGGCACCGAAAATAATTTACAAAATAATTTTCCCAGTAATGCTATTTTTAGTTGCAATTATAACAAGACGACAACAAGACGTCAAGCATTGGCATTTATCAAATTGCAACACACCATATGTATATGTATGGCCGTAGCCCATTCGGCTCCCGTTTTCCCCAAACAGCTCCTGTTTTACAAAAAGGTAAATTATTCCCTAACGGCTCCCGTCGGAAAAGGTTTTAAGATCAAGTAAATTTCCAAATGGCTCCTGTAAGATATATGCAAAAAATCATACGTTAGGTAAATTTTTGACGCATAATTTTCTTATAAAATGTATGTTTGTTATTAAATTCGAAGAAAATTCTTGAATTATGTTTTCAATGAGTTCCTGTTTTTTTTGTACGAGTACGTATAATATATATGTATAATTAATTTCGGTATACATAATATGTTTAATGTTTCGGTACTTTTGATATTATTAATGTGTCCAATACTTTTGGTTAAATTTAAATTATACAACCGTATACAGTATACCAATGGTATAAGGTACATCGGTATACCGATAAAATTGTCAGCCGTTAGGGAATTGACCTGTTCGTAAAACCTTTTTCAACGGGAGCCCTTGGGATGTGCCGATATGGGGCTGGCAAGACCCTGTTCGCCCAAAAACGACCTTTTGCTTTTCGTCCAAATATTTTAAAACTACTTTCCCTTTTCGCCCAACAATTGCATTTTTAAAATAAACAATTTGGAAACATTTAAAATTATTTATGTCCAGTATATGTCTACAATGGTCTGTGCCTGGTTGAATATTATAAATTAAATTCAAACTGAGGTCTACATTGAATTAAATAGTGTTCATTTACAAACTTGTCCCAAAGATAAAAAAAAATATAGATCGACAAAGAATAAATGAGGAAAAAGTACAACAATATAAAACAGAAACAATCATCGGTATAATTTTATTAAACTAATGGCATTTACTTATTATAAATTATAAACTCAATAATTATATTTTGACGATTTATAATTTTATATTAATTTTTTTTTGAGCTAATAATATTCTTAATACGAATTCATTTTCTTTTATTATTGACACAATTATAAATTTAACGACCTTTTAAATGTTTTAAGAATTATTTTAATGTACATTTAATTCATTAAATGCACAAAATACACAATACCTTGTTGGAGAATTATAAAAGCCACCTCCTCGTGGTACTCTCTGGGTAATGCTAAATGGCTTCCCAAATTGTGCTTTATAAAAATGTGATCAAAAAGAGCTATAATATTCTTGGGCAAAAGAGAAAGTAGTTTTAAAATATTTGGACACAAAACGCCATTTTGGGAGAAGAGAGTCCAGCCCCCGTTTGTACATTATTGTTGTTGTTGTCGGTTAACAGTATACATATCGTCGGGCGATACTCTTCGCCCAAAATATCGATTTTTTTCCCTAATTTTAAAACTAAATTCCCTATACGATATATGTATACTGTTAATCAACAATAATAATAATGCACAAACGGCATTATCATTAATTTACTAATATTATAATAAAATATGATCGTAATAAAAGGTTTTAATATAGGTTTTTATATTCATTTTATAAGTATGGGCCTTATGTAAGAACGTGAAACGGTTTCGACAGCACTGTTATTCAGTTATTATAGTCATATTATTTATGATACACTAGGTTTAAAGTTATTTTCAAAAATATAAAATGTAAATTGTTCGATACTCATACTTTTGAGTTTTGACTTCAGAAATATAATTAGTCCTTCTATCGAGTTTGAGGGTAATTGAATTGTTAAATCTGAGCTTATATTTTTGTATAATTGGGTAAAATTATACAAAGCTTTTATTAACCTATATCCAGATAAATAAACTAATGCAATTTGTTGTGGAGAACCAAAGTATTCCATAATTTCTTTTAATGCGTGAAAATTGAAAACAGTATCAATAACTGGTAAACAATTTGAACTTTAAGGTTATCTTCGGCAAAATTTAGTCTTCTATGTCAAATTTAACTTCATCGAAATGTTTAATAGCAAATTTATTGCCCACACATAATATTTTTATGACGATTAGATACCTCCGTCATAAAATCACCACTGTTAATCTCAACCTTAGCCGTCGCTAAACCAAACTTTATTTATAAACGACGGGGTTTAACCGAATAAACAATATAAACTATTTTCGTTATTTATATTAGCAATTTGTAGGTAACTTCATTATTAATATCATATTAATTCAAATCTAGATACTTTATGTAGCGGTTTTATGTAATAAAAAAAATATGTCGATCACACAAACGAATCAAATTGCGCTCCCAAAAACGCCAGGCATCTGCAACATGGTGAACTGGTGTATGCGAATCATCCATTCAACCAACACCTTCACTTGTCACGTCACTGGCAACACCCTCAGGATTTTTGTTTGATACAAGTGTACGGTGTCTATTATGGGGTGTTGTACTGTTGTATCAAGCATAAACATAAACATTATTAATATTAAAAATATTAGCTAGGTTAAGTACAATATGTAATATTAAGTCTAAGTCAGTAAGTTTTAACAGCAATATAATATCTATAATATCTAAGTGATAAGAATATACAAATGTTGAGTCGGTGGTGGTGATCTATCGTGACTCGATCATCGTCCCTAGACACTAGTGTTCATCAATAGTGCCTATTATTATAATATTTGTTGGTTCATTGTGTATGTCGAAGTAATCGTTGTACAGGGCAAGGGTGATAAGACGTTTACATTGTTTTGTACTATAATACAAAATCACAAATGATATGATACATACAAAATAACGATGCAGTGCACTAGAGGAGGAATAATAAAATATTTACATGACGTATGCAAATACAAAAATTATTAAATGTATTGCAACCACTTTATAATTATCATTACTGCATTTAAGATACACCACACGTCATATTGACACAGCTCCAACAGGCAACTGACTTTGACGAAGAAATAATTATTTCATCATGATCGCATATAATATTAAACTATTACGCATATTACACATTAACTTATTACACATTTTAAAAACGTATATTGTATTCCTAATATTATGGACACATGGATATATATTACGATGTTAAAATCACTAAAAATGTTTCTTATTAGATTAAAGCTCAATCTGTAATTAAATAGAATATTTTGGATAACACATGGTTACAAAATAATAACAAAATCTTTTGAAAATTTCAAATTAAACATTAATTTCATATTCAATCATTTTTTAGAGTAGTAGGTTATTTGGGTGACGTAACGATGATGACTGACCAATTTATAATTGTTTTCACGTGTTCTGCGTTTAGACTGGAATCTCGAATTCTTTATTACATTTGGTTACAAAATGATTACAAAATGCTATGAAAATGTTGAGTGAAAAGAAATTTGAAGGGTACCCAGGTGCTGGGACCATGAATTTAAATTCCATCTTCTGAACTTCCTAATAAGTTACAAAACAATTTAGAGTGGGTACATTTCATAACAATATGGTTACATAATTTCGCGAAATTTTGGTACAAAAATCTAGATCTTGGGGTACCTACTGAAGTGACAGAGCTGTGACTCTATCTAAATTATTTATATTTATCAACTGTGATATGAGCGACTCCTGAAGAATTTTATTTAACGTTTTCAAGCATTTTCACTCACAAAAAAAATGAAATTGTATAAATTTTAAAAAAAATGAAATAGGTCACTTAGTAATGACACTGAATTCAGTAAAAATGTAGAAGAAAATATTTAAAACACCTAATCACACAAAGCAACTTGCTTTGCTAGGGAACAACAAACATTTTGTTCAAATAATACATGTATATAATACTCATAAGCTATTCGATTGTTTTTTTCAAATGTTTGGAAGCGAATCTAGTTGGTGTATTCTATAATCTAAAATAGAAAATTCTCAGTAGTTTTTAAAAGCGAAGGAAATAATAAAAACACAAATTAATTGAAAACGGGAATATGTACGCAGTATCAATCTTTGAAATCCTTTTTGGTGGGAGATATATGAACAATGGCACTTTTTTTTAAGGGTTCAAAGTCAAATTTTGTATACACTTGTAAAAATCACTCGAAATTCGATTATTATATTTTAGTAGTTGAAATTTTAAAACATTTTAATTTTTGCTTTTAGAAAAGTTTAATTTTTATAGCTATAAGTATTAAATATTTATAACAAAGTTTATGAGTAGTTGATACTCTTACCAAAAAATCTAAAAGATATATTATTACAGTTTTTTATATAGATATTTTAAGTTAAATTTTGATGGGAATTATATATTTAAACTACGAATAACGACATTGATTATTTTTTGTTTTTATAAATATTATTCGTGGGTAGGTACTAAATTAAAATATCTTTAAAAACAAATAATCTACCGAACTGATAGATAAACCATACTGCGTAAACTATAATATCTATATAATTATAATTTAATTTGATCAATACGTTGTTCCATCGTTGAACGATGATCGGTAGTGGAGTTTAAAGATTCCGCTTCGTTTTAGTAACCAAGTTAAAATATTTCGGAGGCTCTGCACAATGCACATTACATATACAACAAAATTCTTCAACTTTTGTAGGCTGTGCATTGTGTTTTAAATAAATTTAGTAACATGTGGTGTACTAAATTGTAAATATGTTTTAGTCTTTATAAAAAAAACTAGGCTGTGAAAACACTCGTGTTCGACGTAGTATTATCGAGTTTAATAACGACGATACTGCTATAAAAATATGCTCGTGGAGTGCAAAATAAAATAAAAATATTTTAAAGGAATTTTGCCGAAACTATAAGTTTATTCCTTAATTTTCTCGAATCATTTTAAAAATAAGTCTCGTGAGATTTGTATACCATTCAGGTGAGAAAAACCGATACAAAACATTTTATGCATTTCCACTGTTTATAAGATGTATACAAAATATTTGATGAAATTAACAATCATGAATGTTTGAAAAAACAATTATCTGATATCGAAAGCAACAACACAAGGACCAGAACGACCAGGTGATAACGGTGTTTTCAGTGTTCAAGCTCAAAAGATATTCTATATAAAATCCGGATTGAAGTCCAAGTGATGGGGGAATAGATTGGGGAACTTACCGAAGTCTGTATTAGAATTGGTATGTAATTTCTTGTATTAAATCAAAATGATTTTTTTTAAGCAGTATTTAATTACTCTTATATTTATAGTAATTGCAGTTTGGATTATGCCTGTAGTTACTGATGACCCTGGTCCTAATTTAAACAGTTTAATTGGTGAGGATTAATATATTGATTTAGAATGATTTTATTTGTGTAATAGTTTTTAACTTGTCGATATTTATTGGTCATGATTTTATATTACTCTAGAATTAAAAATGGCATAACTAATAAAGTCATAACAATTTTTGGACTTATTAGAATTTTATTTTATTTTAGTAAACCATCAAATAATATTATCATCAATATCTTAAACAATTTTTTTCTACACAGGTTTAGAACATAATTTTTATAAGTACAAAGTTGCTTAAACATTGAATGACGTATACAAAAAATAAGAATGATGGTTAAATCATTTTAATGGCTAACAATTAGGTAATTTGCAGTAAATAGACAAGATTGAATAATCATTTTTTTTTTTTTTAGGATATTGTGCAGGTAATAATATTAAATTACTTTTAGTAAACAAACAATATCTTAGTATTAGTTATGATATAAAGACATTTGTACTCGTAGAAACAAATATTGTGTATTTTTACATTTTGCATAGTGGGAAAATCATTTGAGAGTAAGTTATAAATACTAGAAAGAAAAACATTAAAAAACAAGATATTGGTTAAGTGTTTAAGACGAAGAAAAATGTGTATTGTTATAAACAATACGTAATGAAAACATCGTTATAGAGTCTATGGTCACTGAGGAGGACATTATATGAGTAAACGAAACTAAGTGTTGTGGTAGAACAGAATCTTTGAGAAAATCTACCCCTAGTGAAACTGATAGTTTTGAGAGTTAGAAAGACACAGATACACGGGACGTCTAAGGACGTGGATTTCAAATTGGATGAGTTTGGAATTAATTATAAATGGTTGGGAAAAACGGTTGTAAGAAAAGATAGTACTAGTGGCCAAATAAACGAGAAGAAAAAGAATATGATTAATTATTATAAGAAAATTAAAAGTTGATGTGTAGTGTGTATTCTCAAATTATGTTTTCTATTTTAAAGTGAACTTGTTGTGTTTATAAATTATTGAAGCTATTAGGAAAGTATCTTCAAAATTACATAATATGTCTTGTTTAGTAAAATTCATTGGCCTATGATTGGATCATTTGATATTAGCGAACCATTAAAAAATTAATATTTAGTGCTCTCTACTCAAGCATAGTTTTTTATAATATTATTTGAATAATTATAAAATGTCTTAGGAATTCTATTCAAATGTGCTGGATTTAAAAGTAAGTTTGTTGTAACCAACAAATAATTCATATATAACTAACTTTTTATAAAGTATATTATACATAATTTTAATTTATAATCATTGATTGTATGATCTTAAAGGTAATTTTAAAGCCGTTATTTTGTTTTCCATATACTAGGATATTTGCTGATAACATGAACAAATATTTATTTATTTTAAGAAATATGTTTTGTAATGTACACACAACATTGAATGGATACTAAAATGTATATTGTATACTGTATTGAGGCTCTAGCGACAATGGTCTTTACAATTTTTATTAATCAATCTTGTTTTTTATTTTTCTGTATTTTGAAAGTTTGTTCTTACTCAGGGAAGTTTTGTTCACACTAAATAATTAATTCTACCATTGAATACATATATCTCAGTTTGTTTAAATTTTTTAAAATTTAATAGGTATGGTACTTTATCAATATTTACATAAGATAGTGGATTAAACATGAAATCTTGAAAACTTCTTGATCATTTAAACTTAAATGTATGAAGTAAGAGTAAATTCTAAGAAGATATTCACCAAGAACTTTTTTTGTACCCCTAAAACTAACCCCTAAAATAGAAAACTCGGTGTTGTAGGAATCCACCAGTGGTGCCATCTGTTCAATTAAATAAAACACAGTTGATTTGATTGTGATTTCATATTTTTTTTGTATATATGTAAGTGTGCATTTGATTGATATTTACAAAATCGTTGAGAACTACACGATCGGTAGGTTTGGTAACAATTACATTTTATAAGATTTAAATCTTCCTCTAAATACACTAGCATTTGTCCGGGTAATTTTAGATCATCACTACAGTCGGTATGAAAATACATGTCGAACACACATTTTGAATCAAATATAGTTTGTATTTTTCAACGGGCAACGAAGTGAACAGGATCAGTTAGTCAGTTATTATATCGCATTGTTTGTGTCTAACTCAGATATCATCAAGTTACCTAAATGTTTATTTAAATGGAAGAATGTAAATAATAAATTGCTTTGTAAGAGGACCAGTTAGTTGGCAATAATCTGAATTTAAGTTATAAATATATTTTCATGAATCCTGGCAACGTAGCAACCATCTCACTTCCCAAACGAGTTTAATGACGTGCCAAAGTGTCAACCTAAAAGTATAATAAATATTGTTTTACTGTTGTCAATTTCTTCAATTACTTTATTTCATTCCGAGCCACTTTATATGAGTACAATGATCGTTAAAATAATGCTCTGTATGGTTAATATTTCTTATTCGAGTACAACACGTTCCCAATAGTTGACATCGGGTTCCCTTTAAATTAAATAAACCCATGTGAAGTACCTTCGTCTCTAAAATGCATTTATATGCATGCACTAGGTGTCGGTGTTAACGATCTTAAATTGCATTTAGGGACAGTTACGTCACAAAAACCCCCCTTGAATGATGCTGTTTAGTAGAAATCTACGATAAAACTATATATTTAATTAAATTTCAGATAAACTTGAAGATAAAGAATTATCAAATGATGTCATTCAAGGTAACTGTTTAAAAATACATTTGTGTTTTGTTACGCCTCCCTCCAGAAATATGCTCTGAATCCGTGTACCACTAAATTAAATATTTTATTCTGTATATTCAAACTTCTGTAATGAAAGAGTTATCATACATTTCCAAAGACTCTCAAATGTTATATTAAGAAAACACTGTGATATTATTGCTATGGAAACGATTGAATATTTATAATTAATTACGTTAGAAATCGTTAATAATGACACTGGTTGTAGTTACATATCGGGTTTTATATAATTTAAGTATAGGGCTCGAAAAATTGCATAGATAACTTTTGGTAATTGTTAATTGTATATAGGTAGTTATGAATGTTGGTTATTATGCCCTATTTTTCTTCCTAAATTTGACGTCATTATAAACGATTACTATTGTATATTGATTTCAACATTTAAAATGCATACTAAAATATTATATTGTGTCAAAAATAATCAAAATGCTATTTAAACTATTTCTTAAGTTTGAAAATAAAATATATATACCTATTAACTATTGTAATTAATCATTTAAATGTATAGACAACTTAGGTACGTACTTTCATTGTTTTTTTTTTTGTTATTTTTTATTGATCTTGAGCCCGGCAACTGTGGCCATTAGCTGTAGAGTAGGTATTGTAGGTTTTGGGACGGTAGGGGGGAACACGTGTATAGAATATTATTTGTTATAGTTTTATAGCAGTTTACAGATTACTGTGATTATTTTGAATATTTTCTTAATTGAACAAGTTATTATAACTATATTGAGTTATAGAATATAGTCAGTTGTAAAAAAAAATAAATGTGAAAAATGTAGGTACAGTTGACTACTGTTTGTCTCTACTTTATGATTCACACAACTAATCACCTTTTGTTTACATAAATAATATAAATTTGTAGTATGAATTCTTGTAATAACCATTTTTCTGTTTTGTTGATTTGAGTTAATCTTTTGAGAGAGTCATGAATTTTATGAAAATCGAAGCATATTATATCAACTACTTATCGTGAAGAAAAAACGAGTAGAGTCAGGTATTATTTATAAAAACTATAGAGTATTGTATGCATATATTTGTGAGTAAATTATTATGACAACCAGTAATGAAAATTTAACGCTTGAAGTGCTAAACTCTCGTTTTTCGTGAGCCTTCCTTTCGTACTTAATATTTGACATCTTTTGTTCAGAACAGCGAGTTATCTGTCTTTTATTTATTGCTATTTAAATTTCCAATATTCATCAGATTCTATAATTAATATCATGCATGCAGTTTTAATATATATATAATATATATATATATAACTCATACATAGTATAACTATGTACGCATGAATTACAGATATACACATTACTTATACCTATACGCATAGTTACAACTATGTATGTAAGTTACGAAATTAGATTATTTGGTGTGATCGTATAATAGATATCTCAAAAAAATTGTATTCCAGTAATGAAGAGAAGTATGAATATGATATATACATGTACGGTCAAAATCTGCCTGGTTAAGCTGGGCTATGCACATCAATGCCTTGCAATGTATACACTTTGTTTAAGTGTGAGAAACTGCCTAAAACCTTATGCCAATACCCTGTTGTAGATTTTAAATTGCCTAATCAACAACCATATGGTGTAAACTAAGCTCGATCGCAAAACAAAATATTGGAATACCAAAGAAATTGTCGAAAATCAGAAAAATACATGATATGTACTCAAAAAAAAAAAATGGAATAAAGAATGATAGGTTTACTAGAAACGAAGCAATATATTCTGAACTAAGTATACATTTTTTTTACAGCCAACAATGACAGTAAGTGTTTATGAATTTTTGATTTGAATTATTGAATGATGTAGTTAAAATAGATATGAAGGGTATCACAAATTGAAACTGTAAACTTTCTCATAACTAGTTATAATATGTTACAAAGTTATGGAGTGTTTCATTCCATTACAAAATTGTTATGTTGTTCGGACCTAAGGTTTTTGAAGTGGCATAGCTGAGATATAGTTTAGTATTCTGTTGTAATTCTATAAACTGTATTAAATTCAATTACATTTATGTTCACAATGCTAGAATTGTCTATACTAAATATAGAAATATATTAAGCGTGTTTTTAACATAATAATAACCTTTATGCTTTTATAAGCAATTACTTTTGTAATAATTAATGATAATCATACTAATTTGTTTGCCAATTTATTATATTTATTGATACCAATACCAATAAAATCATAATCATAATATCATATAATATTATATTTGTTGTTCTAAATTGTTAGT